GTACCATATCTGTGTACAGAGCCATAAGTCTGAAAAAAAAACTATTAAAAGACACTGGTACTTGTCCCATGAAGTACTTATACATAAATATTGAAATATTCTTCTTATAAATGTCATACACTGTGAGAGAATTTGTTTTGATGAATAAAGGCAAGGATAGATGCTGATAATGGGTGTTGCATACAATTCTTAAGGCTTTTTTTTTTGTAAGATATGAATACGGTTTATATTTGTAGAGTCGGTGGTACCCCATGTGGATATGCAATATGTTATAACTGGGAGAATTAACGAGTTGTATATAGTCAATAAAATTTTTTGCGGCAAAAATGTCTTGAGTCTATTTAGAGAGCCTATCAAAATAGAGATTTTGTTAGCTAAATAATTTACATGGTGTGCGAAAGTTAAACATTTGTCAAGTTCTACTCCTAGAAATGTTATGAAATCTGCACATTCTATTGTATTGTTGTTTATAGATAACTTATTATTACCTATGTCAACTGGTTTATTTTTACCTCTGAAAATTATATATTTTGTCTTTGAGACATTGATAATTAGTTTATTGGCTAAGAACCATGAGCTTAAGTGAGCGAGCTCTCTATTCATAATGGTAAACGCCATATTTACATTTTCATACACTTTTACATCAGTGGCACGCGTCAAAGGACGGTGCGTTCAAAATAACAAATTCAGATAAACCAAGCAGCAAAAACCTACTAAATAAACAAAAAAACCAAACTAAACTAGACTAAATAAAGCAGTGAAAATGTTACAAAATGTATACAAACTTCTAAACAATGTGGAGTGCATCCAGTAACTGTATGCCTTATAATCAAACCTTAGAGGGCGGTATGTAGATTTTGGCATAAACCACTTTCCTCGTTTTTAAGGACAGGGCTTTTCCTAGTTTCATCACTTTGGTTTAGAAAGTCAAGTTGTTCAGAAGACGCACATTCATATTTGCTCTAATTCAACCTGATCTATATAACCTATTGCTTACTGAGGAATTTTTGACAATCATGGTTTTCTGCAAATAATATGGAAAAGGCAGGCCTAATTCTGCAATATAGATTTTGTTAGGTAATAATTGTCTTTACATATGTACTGTGTATTAAAATATTTAGGCCTAAAATTAGAAGTCATATTTTTCTTCCATAAATCATAATCAGTAATAATTCATAATGATGAAAATAATATTGCTAATGGTAACGATGATGATGATGATGATGAGGGTGGCTGATGGTGGTAATGAAAATGGTGGAGAGTGAGAAAAAGAAATGGATTATAATGAATGATGATGATGATGATGACAGAGTATTGATAATGATGGAAGAAGATATAATGATGATAGTAAATTACCTTGGTAATACAGGACAAAGAACACAATGACAGAAAGGTATGATGGCAAAGGATTATATCAATGGTGGTGGTGCTGGTGGTGGTGGTGGTTGTGGTGGTGATGATGATGATGATTTGACGACGTTCATTCATTATGAATAAGGTACCGGTATGTTAAGGATAATGGTTTATATTTTGTGACCCTTTGAGCAATAAATCGGAGTGTTTTTCCCCATAATCCTTATAGTGAACATCGGTGTAGCCTACTACATACTTGATTTTTTTACAACGCGGATTTATTTTGTTTGTTTTTCTGTTACTTTTACTTAGCATTATAATCTATACCATACATTAGTCTAAGCCGTTACTCTATTCATCCTCCATTCATTCAATAGAAAGCTCAATATTTAAGAAAAAACAAAAAGAATACTTTATCATTGACAATGATTCTATTGTTGCATTCCAAATTATTGCTATAAATTAGTGTTAATTCTACAGTAACTTATTCTTATGTCCATAAAAATATAATTATGAAGAATGTATGTCATTGTTGTATGTAAACATGCCAAAAAGCCCATGGGGGTAGCCTATGATGGATAATGCCGATAATAATGAAAATGATTATAATGTTATAAAAGAAAACATTATTTGACTAACGGATGATGGTAATCTTTCAACTGGTGGTGGTGGTGATGATGATGATGATAGTTATTACAATAAAAGCTATGATTATAATGGAGAATTATTATGACGATGTGGAATGATAATAGGGCTGATGGTGATGGAGGATGATGATGATCAAAACTGTGATCTATAATAATTATGATGGTTTATAATGATGGAAGGTTATGTTAATGATAATTGGGATAGCAAAGGACGTTGACGATAAATGATGGCAATGTTAATAATGTTACAGCAAATGAACGTCTTGTAGGTGTCAATTTATTTACAATACAAACATATATATAGACCTATATATCTAAGTACATGCTCGAAATGTCTCGTTAAAAGGCATGAGTGAAGTATAAGAAAATATTAAATGGTTCCGTTAGGTTATTTTATACAGTAATTCTTGAACAGCCAAGGTATAAGTAACTATGCTAGCCGTTTATCTGTTGAAAATTGTTAGCCTTGTTTGAATTTGTACTGATAAATATTTTGCCTAGTACTTTTTGTCCAGACTAAATGAGATATTATGAATGAAACATTTAAATGGTTGCTGAGAAAATTTAATTTTTACAGATATGATGAGTTACAGGTTATAATTGTTTTCGGTAATTTCCTTCTATTATATTTAACATAAATATGGCACTTAATTCTGAGTAGTTTAAAACCAGAACCACTCATCTGCTTCCCTAATAATCTGTTCATTAACATTAATTAAAGTGTGTGTCTGACCATGGAGTTATATTATGATTATAACTCCATGGCCTGACTAACCCAATTTTTTAAATTCACGTATTACTATCATTTCAATTCTATTTCTTTAATGTTACAAATGCCATCAATGGGCCAATATCCGCACAACAAAAAAGACATGCCAAAAGGAGACAAATTGAAAACACTCTCAACAGAGTATATTAATAATTATGCATTATAGGGTAGGGACGTCACTCCGCTAAGGTCTTAATGAGCCACATAAGCCAACCTAATCAAACTATGCATCCCGGGTAGGGACGTTACTCCACTAAGGTACTAGTGACCACCCGCATACCACCCCACCATGAATGCAAGAACCGAGTAGTGTGTCCACGGAAGAGAAAAAAAGAAAAGCAGAGTAACGGTTGTGGCGAAGGGTCATTTACATAGAACGGGCGAGTGGGAGAAAAAAAAATGAAGAGGGTGGCAAGGAGATCAAACGATGTCATAACAGAGGGCTTTAAGCAGGAAGTATTGTTGTCGTTGAATGAGAGGAATAATTTAAAAATAAGAAAAGACAGTTGGATAAGTATGTAGCGTGATCAGAGAGAAGTCGAGCAACGTAAAGTTGAAGACGTTTAATTTGAGCGATTTCACATTTAGGAAGGAGACCATATATACAACAACAGTACCGGTACTCAGTAGCAGGTTTATGTATAATTTATATATAAAAGCCATAGTTACGGAATCCAGATTTGTAGATGGAAGAAATTTGCGAGTCCTTTTTAGGTTATCTGAGATTAAAATGCCATGGTATTTGAAACTGTGAACTTCTTCAACAATTGTGCCATGGAGACAAAGTGAGGGAAATTAGCTGGATTTCTACGCAAGTCTATAGGCCTATTCATAATTCTACATAGGGGCGAAGGACAAACCATTGCTGTGAGACCAAGATTCCAGGAGTGAGGCAATATGTGGTACCGGTAATTGGTCCGAATGTACGTCCTTAGAATAACATAACATAACGATTTCATCGGCATAAAGGGAAAATGGGCAACCAAAGTTGCTGGCAATATCATTGATAAAACATAAAAAAATAAAAAGAATAGATCCAAGTTTAGTGCCTTGAATGACACTACTTTTGATAGGTAATTTGCTTGAAATGATTCCATTAAATGAAGTGCATTGAAGTCTATCATAGAGCCAATTGCAAATCCAAGAAACAAGAGTGTGGCGAATACGAAAATAATTAACTTAAATAAAAACAATTCATGAGGAACAGAATCAAAAGCACACCGGATATCAAGGAACCTATTTGTAATTTTCCTAAACACTTTTATATCCCGTTTATTCTGCTTTCTTTGATTACTTAGATGGAATAGAAAATAACTGGAGTTGCGTCAGGAGAATCAAGTATAGGTGTAATTTTGCCCTACCTGACGTGGAAATGTACTGAACGTGTGAAAACAACTGCAAAAAAAAAATCGCAATTTGTACTCGGGTGGGACTCGAACGCACGATTTCCAGATCTTTAGCCTGGCATCATACCTCTCAGTAGACCACCGAGATTGCGCCTGATGGTCAGGGTTGAATTCGAGTCCAAGTAAGCAGCGGGTACTACAATGTCGATAGTACAGTAATTGTTATTGTCGTGATGGAATAGAAAAATATCGCAAGTTGTTGCGATTTTTTTCAGTGTTGTTTTCACACATACAGAGTATTCAGGTAGGGTAAAATTACACCTATAATTATTGTTATAGTTAATAATATTAAAAATGATGATAATGATTTTAATAATAATATTATTATTAAAGTCAATCTGACCATGTTATAGTTAAGTTCTGCGAATTTATTCAAAATTGACTCCAAAAACGGAGGGTATGAAAGAGCAAAACAAAATATTAAAGCACATTAGAATACATAAAATCATGTGCTAAGGAATGAGTAATTGATAGTAGCAATAATAATTATTTAATATCTGTCTCTTATACACATCTTATACACACTTTTCTCTATTTCTTTTGCAAAGAAATCAAATCACCACCCTCCAGTTCAATCTCCTTTCCCAACTTTAGAAACCTTCCAAATTCCATTACGATTAATTATTCACTTGTACAGCATGTGCTGACAAAATTATTTCGCAGCAGCTGGTCAAACAAATTTGTTTTCCTATAATCAAATTCCTGGAGGAGTCTCCCACCCCCTACCCCTAGTTATCATCTTGTCTTGAGAATAGACAATTAACAGCATAGCAACTGCGCACTCACATACAGTACACATACAAGTAAATAATGGACGAAAACGTTTATAAATTCAAGTAAATAGTTTAATGAGATAAAATATTGAACATTAGGTCCACATCAATAACAACATACAAATGAAAAGCCATGCATACGACCTAACGTTGGTTCAAAATTAAATAGGCACAATACATCAGCTTTTACTTCAGCTGCTTGAAACACTTGGCGTTTCTTGAATGTCTTAGGTCTCTTTGGAATTTAAACTGCACTCCTCTGACCATCTATAAATTAACAAAATGCATCATTTCTAGAATAGTTACTTAAAGACACATCATTTCAAGCATTCTAAAATATCATTAACTTTTAAACTTATACAATAATAAAATGTTAATCGTTTCAAACCTCTATTATGCACAATTGTAGACCTACACATAATTATTGCTATACAGTAGTTTGACATTTAAATTTTACTTTAATGTTCATTCAACTACACTTAACAATGAACCGCTGTTTCCTATTAATGATATTGCCTTGTTTTATTCAAAATGTTTCAATTATTGCTGTTCTCTAATTAAAGGTGAATGAATAAGGACCAGGATCAGTGAATTTGATGTGTACAAATTACAACCCCAGACTGTAATGGACCTCCAAATTGGACAATAGTGAGATGTATTAGGTGTACTGTTAAATGCCACACCTCTACACAAATGTATAGCTGTCTTATACAAAAAGAACCAATAAAGAATAATTTGTACCCAGCTTTTAGATTGCACATACACCTATGCTTTGGATCATAAACTTATAAAATAAAATTAAAATCTGAAAATTAATTAACAGTAGACATGCTGTACAAGATTGTAGAAAGACCATGTATAGTCAGCCTGTAATACATACAGAATGAAAATACAGATAGTACTTTATTGAGACTCAAATTATTTTACAAAAGCTTTCACCATCAGTCTATGCATTAGGTGTTATGAAAGTAGAGTAAAAGAACACTCTTTTCAAGAAAGCCACTTGAGAAAATTCAAGTGTTCCCTGAAAACTAGCTACATAGTGTAAATGGAAAATATAGTATGAGCATCAGTGGTGGCGCCGGCTGGGGGGGGGGCTATAGTCCCCCCTGTCGGTGAAGCAAAGCCCCCCCGTCGGGGAAGACGACAAATTTTGTTGGGAAACAAACAAATAAAAAAAAATATTTACATGTAATATTCGTTTAGCCACCATATTGTTTGTGTTAACTTTTCATCACAACAACCACAATAACAATAATAATAATTCAATGAGCCTAATTAAAAATAATTTGCGTTCTGTTACGACAAATGCTCATTTAGATAGCCTCATGATGGTTGGAATACATCGTGATAGGTGAATTTCATGCAAAATTTCAAAAATACAGAATTTCACTTTCAAGAATGAGGATTTGAAAATAAATTAGATGGTTACATTGCATTATCTTTGTTTCTTGCTTTGTTCAAAATGTTTTGGTTTTGGAAGCTGGTTTCAACATTAGAAAGCAGCCTACATGAAGTCATATTATAGTAACTCGATGCCTATCAAATAAGTAATAAAAATTCATCAAATATCCGTGGCTTCCAGGGGGCTATTTATGACAGTGCACCAGTAATATTTTTGTGACATGCTAACAATGACCTAAGAATTTAAGGTGTGAAAAAGAACATTTAGAAACAAATAATCCCTTACAAAAATGTCCTATAGGATCCTATAAGAGAAAATCTTATAGGAATCTTATAGATTTTTCGTCACATCTATAGGATCCTATAGGATTATTTCAATAGATATCCTTTAGGAATCCTATAGGAATCGTATAGGAGTCGTATAAGTATTCTATAGGAATTTTAATATGTTTCGTATAAGATTCTTAAAGAAATCTTATAGGAAAACTGCAAGATTTTTAAATGAAACAAATAGGAATCTTATAGAAATCCTATAGAAATCCTATAGAATGCCTAAAGGAATCTTATAGATTTTCTAAAGGAACCTTATAGGAATCTTATATGAATTATATAGGTATCTTATAGGAATCCTATGGGTTTCTTATATGAAATCTATAGGAATCTTATAGTTATCCTATAGAAATCCTATAGAAATCCTATAGAATGCCTAAAGGAATCTTATAGATTTTCTAAAGGAACCTTATAGGAATCTTATATGAATTATATAGGTATCTTATACAGTACCGGCCAGTTGTATTGCAAAAATCCCAACGCGTTTTACCCGTTGTCGTTGCGTTGCGTTTGCGTTGAGTTGCGTTGCGTTGAAATGAACGTTGAGAGTACATTGTTTATTTAACGAT